CCCGCCCCGTTAGACTGTCACGTGATAGTTTTGTTTGCCATAGTTGTCGCGCTTGGCAGGCAGAGGGCAATCGCAGTTTTTTTATTTTCCAGTTGTTTCAGAGAGATCCTGCTTCCCATCTCCTGTTTCAGTTTCCCTCTGTCGCCTCTTACGACAAGCATGGGACGGGATATGGGCTTGTGATTATACGTACGCTGCTAGTACATGTTATTTTTCAAGATAAATGTATCAACGTATTTTCTATTTTAATAATGATCTCTAAAAAGGAACAAGTTACCACTGATAAAATTATACTTTATATACAAAATATGTTGTTCATTGGTTTAAAGCACATATGCGTTTAATTTATCGTTTTGATTTTTACATTTCTGAAAGTCGTTTGCCTCTAATTCCAAAATTAAATTTACCCCATAACCTAATCCCGGGAACGGATACACGTAATCACGTTAATTCCTTGATATGTTTTGATTAAGCATTTTCGTCATTTATAAATGGATTTATTTGCACACAGTGCTGCCATCGCCTTAAATGTAGGTGCTTACTTTATAAATCGTAAAACTTAAAATTAAACTTTTAAAAACGGTCACCCTTAAAAAATAATACGCAACGACAATTTTATTTGCAAGTTATTCATCATTTAACTTCAGTTATTGTATTATTATTCCCAACTAAGCAATGTAACTCTTCCCAATTTGAAACGATATTTCATCAATTATTTCTTCTGCGGCAGTTACGCGCCGGGTGCCAGCTACTATTGAATAAAAATTCTTCTGTTTCTATTTTTATGTGTTTAGTTTGTCTTCCCGAGATAATTCATTCATTACCAATTTATATCCTTATTATGCATGTACCATTTCATATAAGAATAATAATATTAATACAATTCATGTTTGAGCAATCACTTCGAATACATACTGATCTATAATGTGTGCGACTTTTGTCAGCTCAGTTAATGTAATGAGTATTAAATGCTCCTTAAGTAATAACACTAGCCATTGTATAGGACTGCGCAATATTGCGGTTCTATTGAAGCAGGCGCTTTGCGCTGATTGTTCTACGTCCACGCTAACGCTAAGTAAGTATCGGTGTAAGGAAATAACGCCGCGGGTACTTATCGTAGTGGTCCAGTGCTGCGCAAAGATTTCCTCATATGCGGCCACTGGTGAGAGGTCACTGAGCTTAGGTTGATATTACACTGGATTAGATTGAGTATAGGTGTTTGATCTTATATGTAGATTAACATATAACGTGGTAGAGCCATATTGCATTACATTTTAGTTATAAGCGGGGAGGAGTTGACTGCCTCGTTGAACTAGTGGTCGTGAACGTGTTGCTGAATATGAGGTCTTGTGTTCAAATCCCGGGTTGGACCAAACTCCGTTTTTGGGTTTTTCCATCAAGAAATTCTCAGTAGCTGCCCGGAGTCAGGAATTTGGCGGTGTTTCATCGCCGTGCCTCGGAAAGCACGCAAAGTCGTTGGTTCTGCGCCTTATCTCCCTCCGGTCGTCTCAGATTGCCGTCCCATCGGACTATGAGAGTGAGGCAATAGAGAGTGCACCTGTGCTTGCGCATACACTCCGACACTATAGTCCTGTGCTGCGCAGACGGCTGGTCCACGTTAAGACTGGACGCCGTGACCGAAATTCAATCTGAAGGACATTATTATTAATTATAAGGGTTGACAAAGCATCTGTATTTTGATTTTAAATCGAGGATAGATGTACTTACCATCAAGTGGGTTGTGAGCTTGATTATGCAATGCTTGTTTAATTATAATTTGCATTTGTTGTGACCAGGATTAAGAAAGGAATGCTTCGATGGTTTGGTTATGTAGAAAGAATGAACGAGGAAAGAGTGACAAAGCAAATTTATGTTGCAGAAGTGAATGGCAGAGTCGGAAAGGGACGCCCTAGACGAAGGTTTATCGACCAAACTGGCGATATATTGAAAATGGGCCAGATTAGGAGTACGCTTAATCGACAAGCATGTATGCGAGGATCGTGCTAAATGGAAGTCCGTAGTCTCTGCCTACCCCTCTGGGTGACAGGCGTGAGTGTTTATATTATGTTTAATTATTTATATATCACAACATTGAATGCTAACCACGTGTTGCTAATTGGTTTTATTAGTAAGCTTGAGTAGATGCCGTGAAACAAATATCTACCCTAGAGACACAGCGATCTCATACAATAAGAATAGAAGGATAATAAGTAATAACATTTAATATTAAAAAAAAAATACTTTTCAAGTTCGAATGCGTGGTGTGTCGACGACAAAGGGGCTAAGTTACAGGAGCCAATGATTTTGTTTCGTCTTATTCAGGCGAGTTATTTAAGTCCATTGCAAAAGTTTTGCTCATTTTTACATAAATTTTCACCATTCCAAAATTCATTTTAACAAGGGCATGCAAAAGTTTTAATACTTCGGCACAACCATAGATTGTATATTTATAATTAAATAAACTAAAGTTCGTAAACTAAAGAATACGCTTTCTCATAATTTATTATCCTATATGAATTTGTTATATAATTCTTTTTGTGAAAATTTTTCGTTGACCTTCTACCTCTAATTGTTTATGCCTTACTTGATGTTTTTAGCTGTAAGTTTTCCAATATGATACCTACAATAAAATGAAATAAAATAAAATGTAATAAAATAAAATTAATACTCACACCAACAAAGAAAGATAGACAGCTCGCTATGCAAATTTCAAGTTACGCCAAAACCATCATCATTCTCGTCAGCATCATTACAGCTTTTCACAAGTCCACTTCTGAACATAGGTCTTCCCAACGGAATGCCACAAGACACGGTCCTGAGCCACTTGCATCAATCAACTTCCGCATCTCTTACCAAAACTATTTTGCAAATGCAAATGTGTGCGAAGTGCGAGATTTTGCAATAAAATGAGCACGTTTTTGGTGTCACTTGAAATGTGCGTAGCGTTTCGTCTACCTTTCTATGTGGGTCTAAGCCACCATCGGTTGCCAAAGTCTCGTCCAGCAATTAGCAGAATGTATTTACATAACACTGAAATATATACAATATTAAAAAATAAATAATAAAACTAACACTGAAACTTAAATTATCATACAGTCCTACACTCCGTGGTATCGTGTCAAGAACGCTGACTGTGTTTCCTCGTTGAATCGCTATACTTAGCCGTTAAGCGAGAATAGAACCAGCCCTCCCGTATCACAAGTAGCGATGACCAGCAACCTTGACATTTGGAAATTCTACACATCCCTTCTTACACGATAATGTGTTTACAACAACGCAACTATTGGTTTTAAGTTTCATACGTGGAAGAGCAAAGCTACAGCTATATTATGGTTGTAGCATGAATGCCTCGGTTCTACCGAGGAAGGACCACGCTCTTGCAGAATGTCAGTGTAAATAGTAGATAGCTTAACGCTGCTTTGTTACGTATGGTGAGTGGAGTAATCCGGGGACGCCTTTTACTGGACATGAGGCATTCCATCTCAGTACTCAGAGGTGACAAAGCATCTGCATTTTGATTTTTAATCAAGGGTAGATGTAGATGTCTATAGATCGCAGCAGCCACTTACCATTAAGTGGACTGTGTGCTCCTTCGTCACCCGTATTCTACAAAGACTTATTTGGTGATTGTTCCATGTTTTTTTTTTAGGATAAGGGTGACAAACGAGCACACAGTCCACCTGATGATAAGTGGTTGCTGCGGCCCATAAACATCTACATCTATCCTCTATTACAAATCAAAATGTAGATGCGTTGTCACCCGTGAGGACTAAGATGGAATGCCTCATTTCCAGTAAAAAGGGCCTCCGGCCACCTGCACTCACCAAGCGAAACGCAGAGGTAAACCTCTACTTCACGCTGGTTTTCTGTGAGGTCGTGATACCACCCCGGTTCGAGCCGGCCCATCCGTGCGACAGCAAAAGCTGCTGCGTGGCTCTACCACTGTTAAACTGTGTCGTAACATTATCATAAATTAAGTGATATATGCTAAGTTAGGAGCATTTAGATTATTTGTTGTTTTTGTTGTTGTTTTTTTAAACTCATTAGTACTTATTACCTAATTCATTTAGAATTGTGATGTCTGAATAACAAACACTTTTACAAGTTTAAATATTGCAAAACTAAATAAGATACTTTATTTTAACAGTTGTATTTATGTACAACTAATTTTAGTTTTTTACTTATTTCTATAATATACAAAACAGTCTCAGTAGACACAGGTAAAGAGATACAAGCCCTATCTACTGTAGGTACCTATTGATGCGGCGTTAAAAGTAACAGGAGGACATAGGACCGGATAAGGTGTGGAAGCCCCTAAAACTTTTGGACAGACGAATAAAAGTTTCACATTTTTCAATCATTTATAAAAAATACTAGACATATACTGCAGTTGCAAATTGAATGCAGTTCAACACCATCAGCAAATTATTACATTCTCAACATAATTTGAATATTTTTGGACGTGGTAGAATCATGCTGCAGCTATATTAGTAGTATAATTGTAGCACGAATGGGTCGGCTCGACCGGGGAAGGACCACGCTCTCACAGAATACCAGCGCAAAATAGCAGCTTAACACTGCTGTGTTTTGTATGATGAGTGTAGAGAACCGGATACCCCTTTTTACTGGACAAGAGGCATTCCATCTTAGTCCTCACGGGTGACAACGTATCTGCATTTTGAGTCTTTATTGAGGATAGATGTAGATGTCTATGCGTCACAGTAACCACTTACCATCAGGTGGACTGTGTGCTCGTTTGTCACTCTATCCTATAAAAAAATATGTACCTTTTGTAATAAATTTTTGGAGGCCCCTTTCTCGTAGAGGCCCGGGGCTAGAACCCCTGTTGCCATGCCCTACATTCGGGCCTGGTAACATAGCATGATCGACAGTACTAACAGTCTCGTATAATAAGACTAAGCATTTATGTTCTTATTAAATAGCCACCGAACAGAAAAAAACGTAGTATTCTTTTCTCGGAGTGAATAACGAATCGCAGTCTATCCGAGTAGCCCGCAGGTGCATTTATTGAGACAACTTCTGGTCTCCGTGTCGGGTTGCGCGGCGATCACTCGCTTTTTCTTTTTACCGCTTGCGTCGTAAAGTTTCTCTTCCTGAAATAAATGTTTGTATTTATATAACAATAATAATGACTTCACATTTAACGATGTGCAGTGTGGACTGACGAATAAATGAAAATTAAAGAATAATAATAATGACCCCGCATTGTCCGCCGGTTTCTTTCCCTTTCTCTCTAAATCTCCACCGTTTGGTCCCCCCTGCCGTGGGCTTCCATCTGATTGGGTGTATTTATTTATGTATATTTTATTTATATATTTTATTATAGTAATATATATTTATGTATATTTGTCCTTTTTCTTGAAATTAAAGACTAGAAATGAGTTGGGGGGTGACTCGAACTTTAGGCCTAATCAGTTTGAATAGCCTATCATGTAGAGGTCATGGGGGTCATGGTTGAATAGGGGCAAAAAGTTCTCATTACACTTCTAGAGGATCAAAATGGCCATAAATTATTTAATTTTTTTTTATTATTTCGGCTATAACTCCGCCTCCTTCGGAGGTTCTTACACGGTCTTTACTTCCCGCATCCCACTTGTTCACTTATATATTTATACAACCCAACCAGATGCGAAAAGTATAGAAATACATATTAATTAATAATTTATGCTCCTGCTAAGTTAATGAGTGCATCCAAGACTTTTCTTTGGCACGTTGAACTGAGGTGAAATATTTGACAGATTGCATTGCATTGGAACAAAGAGTTAAAATGTACCAAAAATTAAAGAGCAAACCACTGGACATTGTTTTGGGTATAAATATAATACTCTAGAACTGATAAACTTTTCTTTAAAACTAGTCTTCTCAATTAAATGACATTGTGTAACAAAACAATTCACCTCAGTCCCAACTAGCGACATCTGGTGTGCCCAAGATTATTAGTCCACATTGACATCAAAGATTTATTTTTATTTATTTTTTTATTTTATTTTTTTAGATATATGTAAAATAGTTCGTTTACGGGCTGATGTTGATAGTAAAAATGTCTTTCTAACCTCAACAATTTCCCCAATTTTATACTTGTCTAAAATTGTTCTAGCGTCGGACGAGTGGCCGACATCGTCAAATGCTTTTGTGGCATCCTTGCCGGCTTCTTCTAGTATCACGTCTCCGCCTGGATGCTGCGAAGTAGGAATTTTTATAAATAAAACGGGTACTCACTTGGAATGTTTCTCCAGTGTCAGACGTAAAACACAATTCAAATATTTTAAACATGGTAAACTGTTATTTTTTTGAAAAAAAAAAAAAGGTCCCACTTGGTTTTTTCTGTTTCTTCCCGGGACATAGGTATTTTCCGAAACAGTGGTAAATAAAACATAAAAGTGACTTTCAATAAGTATTATTTATAATCTGTATTGAATAAAACAGTTTCTATTTCTATATTATTTGTTGACTGCAAGGGTGCTGGGGGCAGCAAGTACTGCTCTCGGGACGAGCCAAATAGTAAAGTATAGAGATCCCGGGAACCATAGTCTACGCTGATGGTGACTACCATGGGGTTTTAGCCGGTAGAAGTCCAGCATAACCCTCCCGTTGCACTCGCGGCAAAATGTTTCCACGAAAAGGAAATATGTATGGTTATTTAACCTGGACGCACTGCGATTTATACGTCCATGGTGTACGCACAGTTTTCGCTTTAATTTCCTAATCTCAATTGCAAATTTTTGTTTTTTTTTTTACAGAAAGGCAAAGGAAAGCATTCAAATTTTTTTCGTATATTCATTTATTCAGAGAAAGTTATGAAGTAGTCCACCACTCGAATTATACGCTGTAAAATGACGCTTCAAAAAGTTTAGACTTTCTCACGTTCGACTTCTAAATGTTTACCACATTTTTCTTTGTGGTATTGCTTTTTTATATAACATTCGAATTACAATCGAGTTTACAACCTACCTGAGCTATCTTGGCACAGGCAGACCATGGAGACTTGCAACTAACTTTAAACAAAGATGGATAGAGTACAGATGCGTTGTCACCTCTGAAGACTGAGATGATACTTCACAGCCAGTAATAAAACTCGCCCCTTCCTTCTTCAAACTGGTACACAGTAGTGGGCACTGCTACTTGTTCGGCTGCGAAGCAAAACATAGTGAGAAAACCTACACATCTGAGCAATAATTATATTTTTATTTGTTAAAAAAACGTTTAACCCTCGCTAGGATTTTCTCTTGTATCATAGAGGCAGTTTACATACATAAGTTGCACAAGGACGAACATCCAGGCTCGGAACAATTTTTTTTTATAGAATAGGATTACAAACGAGCACACAGTCCACCTGATGGTAAGTGGTTGCTGTAACCCATAGACATCTACATCTATCCTCAATAAAGGATCAAAATGCAGATACGTTGTCATCCGTGAGGAATAAGATGGAATGCATTTTTTCCAGTAAAAAGGGTCTCCGGTTCCTACACTCACCATACGAAACACAGCAGCGTGAAGCTGCTATTTTACGCTGGTATTCTGTGAGAGCGTGGTCCTTCCCCGGTCGAGCCGACCCATTTGTGCTACAACTATATTATTAATATAGCTGCAGCATGGCTCTACCACGTATAGAATACGTAAAATATAAAGTCGTATGCTCTCTAATAATAATAATTAACCCGACTAAACACTTACGGGATAAGATCAGATGTAGGCTAGGATCACTAAGACACACTGCTATCTCGGAGACACGATATAATTGCTGGTATTTAAACTCAAGATACGCAATGTAGCAACTGGGTCACGCGGTTGTCATACAGATTTCTGGTACTCAAAATATAATTTTTCTTTCAAGTTTTTCAATTTTTTGTTGTTGAACCATGCTGGATATGTATGATTGTAGTACGAATGAGTAGGAAATACCAGCGTGAAATAGCAGCTTAAAGTTGCTGTGAACGATGAGTGTAGAGAACCAGCGACCCTTTATACTGGTAACGAGGTATTACATCTTAGTCCTTAGGGTTGACAGCGCATCTGTATTTTATTCTTGATCGAGGATTGATGTAGATGTCTATGGGCCACTTTCCACTTACCATCAGGTGGACTGTGTTATCGTTAGTCACCATTGTTCTATAAAATATTTATAATACCTGGCTGACATAACTGGTGACGTCATAAACGGAGTCCTTGTAAATGATCCACACGGGGTTGTTGTTCTGTCCATTGCGGGACGCAACGTCCGCGCGCTTGTACTGCTTCAGCTCACCCATCCTGCAGTAAGGGGACAGATGTTTACTTTTTGAAAGGAATAATTCTTTAGAATATTTATGATTTAGTGTCGAAAAACACACATCTTCTCGTCAGATATATCTCAAAACTTGAAAACGGGACTGTACAACCAGTGATGACCTATGGAACTGAGACGTGGTCGTCTGAGGAAACTCAAGGTCGCTCAGCGAGCTATGGAGAGGGCTATGCTTTGCATTTCTCTGTGTGATAGATAAACACGAGGATATCCGCAGTAGAGCCAGAGTGACCAACATAGCCCTACGGATTAGTAAGCTGAAGTGGCAATGGGCCGACCATATAGCTCGAAGAACCGACAACCGATGTGGGAGAAAGGGTTAAGTGGCAGCCTCATACCGGCAGGTGAAGTGTAGGGCTTCCCCCACTAGATGGAGTGACGACCTGGTAAGACATGCAGAAAGTCAATGGATGCAGGTGGCTCGGGACCGTGCTTTGCGGCATTCTTTGGGGGAGGCCTATGTTCAGCAGTGGACTTGTGAAGGGCTTTAATGATGATCATGATGATGATCTGTATACTGTTTCCTAGTATCTCGGTCTCCTTTTCTGTAGGTTTCAATTCTACCGCGTGTAACTGCACACATTTTTTTTTCTTTTCATCTTTTTCTCACGCCCCCCCCCCCCTATTTATGTATTATTTGGCTAAATCGCAACGATGAGCAGGTGGATAGAAAATTCACCTGCGAATCTACCAGGTGTGTCGCTCCTTCGACGTTGCTCTCTGTTGCCGGTACAGTGAACTGAGTGTGGGCAAATTTACAAGTGATGGATGCCAGCTGGTGTATATTTTGGTAAAGTCTGATATTTCTTCTCTGATGGCGGGAGATCCTCTTTCGAACTAGTTTCGTAAAATGGATATATTATATTTACGGTCGTTTGTAAAAGCGCCCGTATCTGTTTTAATGTTTCAATGAATAACAATATAATTTATCTACTTCTGCGATACGTCTACGTTCACTGATTCGACTTATTGTTGCCACATATAATGATAGAACCTTCGAGCATATAGATATTTTACATGCTCGACGGAAAAGTTTCGTAGCCTTTTATAAGACACATTTCAAGTAATAATTTGTCACCTCACATTATAATGCCATTGTTTACTATACTTTGACTCTTATAGAATACGTTGTGTATCCTAGCGGCTTAATTATCTACTCCAAGAGGTAATCTGTAAATAGCCCTGTGGATTGCATTATTGCGTATATTAAGCTCTATTATTTGTAATATATACATATATATATATATATATATACCTAGTCAGGTCATAAATTCTGTCACATGTTTAATATAAAATAATTGAAACAAGTTTATTCATTATGTAACCATTTATATACCAAAATGAACTTAACAAAACATAGATTCTTATGACACTAAAGTTTATTCAAAATGACCTCCGTGATTTTGAATACAGGCCTTCAATCTGCGCGGCCAGTCGTCTATCGCAGCACGAACGAGGTCCATGTCAACATCGGCAGCTGCCTTAATCAAGGATGTCTTGAGTGACTCCAAATTGGGATGAGGCTTTGAGCACGCCTTTTCCTCCAAGTGTTGCCATATCTTGTAATGTAACGGATTCAGATCTGGACTGGAGGAGGGCCAGTCTTCGTGCCGGATGAAGTCGATTTCACGCGCCGCCAGCCAGTCTTGTGTGCTCTTCGCTCTATGAGCTGGCGCCGAATCTTGTTGGAATACCCAGTGCCTGTTATTGAACATGGTATGAGAAACAGGTTCCACAAGGTTCGTCAGGACTGTGTTTTGATACACAACTGCATTCGTTTTTACACCTTTCTCACATAAATGTACTTCTGTTAAGCCCCAATAAGAAACTCCCACCCATACCATGAGCAAGGATGGAAAATGACCTCGTTGGACACGCGGAATACGGTTGCTCGCTTCTTCACTACTGTGTGCGTAAACCTTATCATTTTGTTTGTTGTAGCTCTCTTCTACGGTAAAAATTTTTTCATCCGAAAAAAGAATTTCCCGATATTTTTTTCCCGCGTACCGCTTCAACAAAGCGCGGCATCTCTTCAGTCTCAGGTCCATTAGAAGAGCATTCAAACGATGTCCTGTTTTTCTTCGATATGCCCGAAGCCCTAAGTCTTCATTTAACACCCTTTTCACCGTGGTTCTGCTTAACCCCATCTGAAGGGCCAACAGTTTCTGCTTACGTTTGGGATTTCTTTGAATTCGCGCCTTCACAGCTTTTATTACTGCTGGAGTCCTAACAGACCGAGGGCGACCACTTCTTGACCTGTCATCTACACTAGAGTCTTCATTGTATCGTTTGATGGTACGATAAACGAATCTTTTGGTTATATTCAAATTTTTCAGTATGTCAAAAATTTGAATTGGCGCGTAACCGCAACGATGCAACGCAATAACTGCAACACGGTCTTCTTTAAGCGTCCAATCCATATTTAAAAATGAGTAAAATTCTAAAAAGTATACAGTTTTATTTTCATGAACAATTCGAAATTCGAATTCAATAAACTTTTTTGGGGCCAGCATTCTAAAAGAAAAGTTTTTACTGTGTGACAATACTTATGACCTGACTAGGTATATATATATATAATGTGGCTGTTAGATGTTCCAGTATGATAAAATAAAAAAATACTTCTACTATAGGACATGGCACTATTTGATGTTACTAAATCTGGAAAACGCAAAACAGCGTGCTTTACTGGCAAAAAACCAAGTTCACAAAGGATACCAAGGGGTCATTGTAGAAGCGTGCTCGTCGCGACCCCTGCCAGCCCTTTTCAGGGCTGCAATTCTACTAGCTGCGCACCCATGCCAACCTGGGTTAGGGCGTCCCCCCAAGGCGACGCACACCAGCTCGTCCCCGTTGGTGTGGAATGCAGCGTGCAAAGCGGCGATGGGGACCGCCACCCGTCACGCACAGCCCGACACAGCGGAAGGTGGAGGACAGAGTGCAGAGTTGGCACGTGGAATGTTAGAGGAGGCATGAGAGATAAGACGAATGAGTTGATCGAAATAATGAAAGAAAGAGAATTAGATGTCGTGTGTATGTCGGAGACCAAACGGAAGGGCAGTGGTACTGAAGAGCTCCCTGGCGGGGCGTTTGCTCTATGGTCCGGAGTCCCGGAGAGCGAGAACGCCTGCCAGGGAGTGGGGGTGCTGCTGTCTTCTCGGTTGGTCGATGTTATGACTGAATATAAGGTTGTGAACTCAAGACTTCTCTGGGTTCGCTTTAAATTGGGACTGACGAAGTTATTCCTTTTGGCTGTTTATGCGCCGGTAGCTTCGTCGTCCAGGGCTGAGCTGGAGGAGTTTTGGGAGAATGTAAGAGAAGTTCTAGATTTGGCTAGGGGAAACGAAAGAATTGTTGTATGTGGTGATTTGAATGGATGGGTTGGTACCGCTCGACCAGGATACGAGTCGGTACTTGGAAAGTTTGGCGATAAAAGGGTTAATGATGCTGGCAAGCTTATACTGGCGGTGTGCAAGGAAAAGGGTCTTCTTGTGACAAACACTATGTTTAATCACAAGAAAATCCATATGTATACTAGAGAACGAAAGAATGAGAGTATGTATGATTGATTTGTTCCTGGTGGATGACCGACTGCGAAAACAGGTGATGGATACGCGAGTGTTCAGGGGTTCACTATCTAGTGATTACTAGATTTAGGGGTCTGTTCGCGGGTTGGCGCTACCGGACGGCAGTAACAGAACCACAGTCGGTCTGTCGCATCCGAAGCTGGAAGCTTCAGGAAGCGGATACTAGGGACAAATATCATGCGAGGGTAGCCGAAAAGCTTGACACCATCGATGGCAGAAAAGAATGTGTAGAAAGAACTTGGCAGAACCTTAGGGATGGAATGGTAAGTGCAGCGGAAGAAGTGTGCGGAACAATAAAAAGAGGCAGTAGTAAAAGAAGAGATGCATGGTGGAATGATGAAGTGAAAGAAGCTGTAAAGAAGAAGTAGAAAGCATGGTTAGACTACTTGGCCTCTAGTAATGATAAGGATATGAGAGAGAAGATGAAAGAAAGATATAGGCTGCAGAAAGTTCACACGAAAGCACTGATTGAGGAAGTGCGTGAAAGGTGTAGAATGGAAGCGGACGAAAGGTTGTCGCACAACTTTAAGGAGAACTCCAAACTCTTCTGGAAAGAGGTTGGAAGGACCCGAAGTGGTGCGACGGCCTTAAGAATGAACAAAGTGCTTTCGAGAACTAATGACGTCCTCTCAGAAAAATCGGACGTCATGCAGCGATGGAGCGAATTTTATAGAGAAATGTATGCGTGTGATGATCTTAGTGAGGGATCCGGGGATGACGCCGTGACTGGTACGCCAGACCCGGACCTCGATGACACTGAGGTCATCAGGATGAAAGAGATTGAACGTGCGATTCGAAGTTTGAAATGTGGTAAGGCTGCGGGACTAGACAGAGTTACTGCTGAAATGGTCAAGTATGGTGGGCCTCGCGTCTGGGACAGCTTTCATCTGCTGTGCAATTTGTGCTGGCGGACGGGGGATGTCCCGGATGATTGGCGATCCGCAGTCATTGTGCCTTTATATAAAGGTAAAGGTTCACATTTTGACTGCGGGTGCTATCGGGCGATCAGCTTGACCAGTTTAGCAAGTAAGGTTTACTCGAAGGTTTTGACACGTAGGATGCAAGAGAAATCGGAAAGATTTCTATGGGAGGCACAATGCGGATTTAGACCTGGAAGAGGATGCACGGATCAAATGTTTTCTCTCCGCATGATCACGGAGAAGCTTCTGGCTGCTAACCAGAAGATTTTCTGTGCTTTTGTGGATCTTGAGAAAGCATTTGATAAGGTTGTAAGGAAGAAAATGTGGGAACTGTTGCCGGGGTATGGTGTGGATGGTCAATTGCTAAGGGCTGTGCAGTCTCTTTACTGTGACTGTAAAGCCTGTGTGCGGGTAGGACATGACCTGTCACCCATGTTTAACGTCCAAACGGGCGTAAAGCA